AAAAGACAGCTCTGCCACATAGCCAGTTCTAATTACAACCATACATACTTATTTAGATTTAACTACTACTTTCAAGTACGAGAAGGAACTCAAAATACGAAGAACCTGTGTAACAACTATTGTTATTCCCTCACAAATTTAGGAAAAACAGGCTTTATATACACTGTAGTAAGTACAGAATGTACAGAAGACAGTTATATATACAAAAGTGCATTAATACAGTAATACATTTAGCAGGAATACAGGAAAAATCCTGGTTAATAATGATCTGATACATTATAATATTTAAGACTACTTGAAGAATCTCCAAACCACTTAATATCCTACTTGCTTTGGTTATGATACTGATGTTACATAACTAATCTTGAAACTAAAAACAGACAATAAAACCTCCCACGATATGAAATTTTTAACCATCTTTGAAATGTTTTACACTCATGTTTATTATTAGTCTCTCTTGACAGAAGTCCTCTTATATTTCCAACACAAAAATTTAGAATGGATAGTACTTATACCTAAATAAAAGTACACAGGAAATTAAATCCATCCACTACATAAACAGACAATGTTTGCTCCTTTCTTAAAAGCCTCAGCTAGATAACCTAACTCCAAAGTTTCAGTTTTAATCCAACAGGTCAGATACAGCAAAAGATTAAGCAGCTCTACGAAATGAGTCATGGCCACGGGCCACTGCTCCTTGAAACAATTCAGAATAGTACATATTGTCATTTATAGGTTAATTTTATAATTAACTTTACATAGTCAAGATGTACATGTGTAATTAAGCAATTCTCCTTTTTTCCCACCCCTTTCTCTCACCACAAAAAGAACACACAATTCCACAGGCTCCAATGACCACAAAGCTGTAACAGAATAAACTTGACAATAAAGAAAAAGTATTATGTACTAAATTCAGAGAATAACAAACCAATGTTTCTCAGTCTGGCATGAACATTAAATTAAAATGTAATTTAAATATGCTTTAAAAGAGAGATAAAAACAGTAATTCTAATATTTAAAAACGAAAATAAAATTTTAGTGAGGCAATTATTATCTTCAGCTCTACCATGCAACTTCTTTACTCTTAAACACCAGTTAGGAGGTCCTTGTAGGCTTTTTAAACGAAAATTATTTTCAAAGAAATAAGACTAAGATTGTAAGGAATAGTTTCCAGATACTATGCTAACAGAGATGCCTAGCTCAAAATATCTCTCAGGTGGTTCTTACCCACTTTTACTATATCTTCATTTGTAAGATAAAATTTATCTTAGTTTATTTGACTTAAAACTAATCCAGAGTTACCACAGTACATATGTATACAAATATTTCCTAATAGTCCTTTTTGGGATTTTTACTTCTAATTAGACATGTTGAATGTCAGTGCACTCAACATAAACACTATACTATTTAATGCAACTGGAAAGTTTACTATCAAATATCCCAAGCTCTAAACTGACTTTAAGTAGCTCCCTATCGATTCCAGACAAGCATCTTCTTGGTGATAGAAGAGCTATAAAATTACTAAAGGGATGGTATACAAATAAAATTCAGGATCTGATGCTTTTTGCTTTTATCTATCTCTATTTACTCTTAATTTAATGGTAGCCATTCTAGAAAAAAAATACAACATTCTGGTTATGCATGAATTTTGAAAAGCCTGATATTCACAAAAAAGTATAGAGTTTACCACCATTAAGGCACATGAGGCTACAGAGCGTAAACCATGAACAAAGACTCTACCAGAAAACACAAAACAAATCAAACGTTGATACTGTATATGCTAACATTTTTGGCTTACATACGAAGATATATGATAAATTTTACAATTGTTAAAGCTCATCAGAATCTAGATACCTTTATACAATAGTTTCATGTAATTTATCCTTTAGGAAGGGATTTAGCACTTTCAAAAGCTAAATAAAATGAGGTGTCCACCCAATCTATAAAATTTCACTGTTTTACATGTCAGTTTCTGGGATTAATTTGCCAATGTCTCATTGACCCAAGGGACAAATGAACTGGACTACGTGATGGCTATTTAACAAGTTTCATTTCAAACAAAGTGTTAGTTCACTGTTCAGTTCTTGTTGAGAGCAAACAGTCTCTATACACATACATTATGGTACACTACCTTGCTTTAATTAGTCGCAAAACTGTAGAAAAATACATGCCATTTTGTTTAACTCAAGGTTTGTAGTTTAAAAAGCTGTGGTGGGGGCTGGCATACTATTAAAAAGACCTCTAATAACAGGTCTCTAGATAAAACTAAAGGGACTTTATTATGACTTCAACTAAGCTTTATTTTAAAAGAAGAGACTTATTTGTTCCGCTGTTAGTTCTATAGAATGGGAATCAGCACAGGACAAATAATTCCTGCCTTTTCAGTAATTGGTTAATTTTGGGTTTATGTCTAAAAAGAAAAATACATGAGCTGGATTTGTTTGAAATGAAACTCAGAGAGATATCATTGAATAAACTAGTGCTTAGTCCAAAAATGATCCTTTAAACTTGACTTATCTATATGAGGTGTTAATACACATGAAAATCACAGCAGAAGACAAAAGATTCTGTTTATGTCTTTGTGCTAATTTCTTTACTGGAGGGATGAAGACTTTTAAATCTCTCTCCTACATCATAAGCAAGCCAAAGTTGTTTGAGTCTGTTTTTTGCACCAGGGATCAAACTCATGACCTGGCGCTTGCCAGGCAGGCACTTATGCCACACTAAGTTATCTCCCCAGCCCTGATTTTATTCTTTTAACCAAAAGTATTTCTTTCAATATTTTTCAGGTCAATTTTATAGGCTTCCTCTAATCTATAGAACTGTAAAAATAATACACCCAAATTACACAAAATTCTATGACATAATTTATGAGCAACAGAACCTTTACCAACTTCAAAATCCAACTTGTTGCACTTTGGTAAATTTGTTCAATAGTGAATGAAGCTAAATCTAAAGTAATAAGACTACATGACTGTTGGGAGAATACAGGAATTGGTTTTTAATCATAGTACATAATGATCCTGTTTAGGATTTCCTTTTAGTGATTACTGTCAAATGTTTTCTAAGTATGTGAGAGTAAAAAAATGCTATGCTGCAGCATTCAAAAGTGGCCTTAAAATAGGTAGAGAGAAGGCAATCATTCTGTGGGATTTTGCTTTTACTACAAGCAGGTAGAGAATTCAGATGTATCTTTAATTCTTTCCTTTTGCTCTTCATATACTCAAAAATGAAAGCAAAAATTATTTAAAAAAAAAGAAAGAAAGAAAGAAAGGTTGACTCTATTTTCCTCTGAGTATTCTGGAGTCTAACCCAAACTCCTTTTCAGTCCTGTAAGCTGGCCAGGAATAGCAAAGAGGGGACAGATGGAAAGTCAACAAGACTACTCAAGCTGAAAAACATAACCCCATACACCTTTAAATATTTTCAATTCTGGTGTTAGTTTTCAAAAGGTTACAACCATTCCACAGACCTCAGGAAAGTTACAATATATTTTTGTCCTCAGTTACAGTCCTTAAGCCTTCAAAGAACCAAAATAAAATAAAAATTTCCAAATACCTAATTGTAAGCAAAATTTAAACCTTTCTATGAAATAAATTTTTATGTTTTTAAAAAGCTAATGTTTAAAAAAAAGTAGAAATTCCAAATAGTCTCTAGATTCTAGAATTTAAAAAATTGGTTATAACTTTTCCTACAGAATCGTGATTACCTCCTACACTTTATTCCCAAATAAAAAGAAAATTATGAATGTCACAAAGCAGCTTGATTGTCAGTAGTATCAATTTACATATTCTTTAACTCATGTGAAGATCTAAAGACATATGGTAGGAAAAAAAGTAATCACTATTTCTTTCCTTTTGGTGAATCAAATTAACAAACTGTTAAAACATTTTAAAAGACTCTACAATTTCACATTTAAATTCAGAGTTTCATTAATCATAAGCTAAAATCATTTGTACCTCTCACTGCTCTGTATACTTAGAACAATTTATCGAGAAGTTTAGCAGAATGCTAAAGGGTGCAATGAGTTAATTATCAACATTAACCTCCTGATACCCCTAAACTTGTTATACCAAATATTTAAAAATTAAAGCTGTGCTGGATAGAAAATGATCCACAAAAAGAATGAGGGAGGGAGGATGAAGGAGGGAGAGATGGACAGGAGGATAGGGAGAGAGACTGAAATTTTCTATCTTTGAGACAATTTATAGCCTAAAATTTCTTAAAACGATGGAAATGTAGAATTGATTTCTTTGCCTAAATGGTTTCTCTATCTGAATACTAATCAACATAGCATTAAGTCTACAATTAACTACTAGTAATGTTATTTTCTCAGTAGTCATCACTTACAGAAAGGACTGATTTTACATAAAATAAAAACAGAAACAGAAACAAATTGAACTGGAAAAGGTTTCTGGCCTGTTTTTATACCTTTGAATTAAAAACGAAGGAAAACAGAACTAAACCTAATGAAGGCACTATTGTAAACAGCAACCCATACTTACACATATAACCTTCATCTCTGCTTCAAAAAAGATTTCTACTATTGAAAATTATGCTATGGCCCTTTAGAAAAAGTAAACTAAGAAACTAATATTAAGAAGAGAAATGAATTATGAGCTCTACCCCCTCAACACATACACACTGACATAATAAACTACATGTCAGCAGTACCTTGAATTATCTCCTAAACTATGGAAATACTAGTCTTTTTAAAAAGCCCACTTAATCACCATAAAGTTTTAACAGCCAAAACGTTAAACCAGTGCTTAAACCAAAATGTGCATCAGAATAACCTGGCACTGGATAACATAAAAATGCTGGGTTCTTTCCCCGGTGTTTCTGATTCACTAGGTCTGGAATGGGCCCCAATAATACACATTCCTAACAATTTCTCATGTGATGTTGAAGTTGTAGGTACTGCACCCACCCTCTGAAGACCACTGGCCTAAATAATTAATGGTACATCAGCACAATCCTAACCAAAATTTTGGTCAAGATGCATGTAAACCAACAAGAACAGAATAATGCTTAGAATGAGTGGTGATAAATCCATCCTTATTACATCAAAACATCAACATCTGCTTCATGGTCTTCCTCAGTCACTTTCAAGGACAGCACCTCTTCATTGAGGAAGAGCCCACTCAGCCTCTCCTTCCGGGCCTGCCTCTGCTCCTTCAGCTGCCTCTTGCGGAAAGCTTTCTGCTGTAATTTCCGCTGCTTAGATCGCTTCTGTCAAAGTAAAAAAAAAAAATCTACATCAGTAAAATTTATTCTTGGTATACACACACCAAAGTGCTTGATGGATCAAATTCTACATTTTCAGAATTTTAAGAGCTGTTCAAAATCCTCTACCATAATACTCTTAAAATAAGTGATCTGAAAATGATTTAAGGTTCTATTTGACCAGAAATTCTTCTGACCAAGAGCTGATACTTGACCATTCTAACTAGCTATGGATATCTGATCCCTTTGAAATCCTATTTTTAAACCAAATTATATTATATTATCAAAGCAAAGACTTTTTTGGTTATGATACAACTGAGCCAAAAATGGTTAATCTTTGCATTTAAAGCAAACTAATGTATATTTCACATTTTACTAAACTTATTTTTTCTACAAGTAGACAGCAAGAGAACATTGTTGTACAGGTCATATGTTGCACATAGCATAAGTACAGTGAGAACAGTTGTTCAGTTGAAAAGATTTTATACACTAATATATTCTCATCAGCCTGGAAGGTGTTCTGTTCTGTCTACCCTTCATTTCATGCTCTTCAAGGTGTAATGCCTAGAATATTTCCATAAGTGAGGGGAAACTGGATGCCAAACGTTGTACAATATGTACACAAACTTACCTTCCTACTCCTTTTATTTAAATGCTAATGTATTTTGGCAGATTAACTTTCAGTTGAGGACTCTTGGAACTTATTTATTTATTTATTGTATTTTAGGGAAGGGTCTACAGGGTGTTCAGGGTCTCACTACAAGATCAGACTCGTACTGATCCACCTGTTTTCAGCCTGCCAAGAGCTGGGATTACAGGCGCTCGCCATCACGCCCAGTCTCAATTGTCAGCTCAGCGCACCCCAGGTACAGGACAGGCACGGCATCATGGAATTTAAGATAACCTTCAAAGACATAAATAGTTACCTGTCATTCTTACTTAGCTTAAAATTGTTGAATGCATTTTCAGTTTTTTTTCCCATTTATGCCAGTACTGTTTAACTATAGTCAGCACTGGCTAAAGTTATTTTCACAGTTTGCGTTGGTGAAGATATTCATGATTTAAATGTCAGGTCCTAAAAAGGGGCTAAATCTACTTTGAAATGAATCTGCAATCCATTTTTCGAAGCCTTCCCAGTAAGTTCAGTGATTTTCTTTCACTAGATTTTTTTTGCAGAAATACCACATAAGGAATTTTAACAAGTTTTTATTAATGCAAAAATAAGGATAGAACTACAGTGAGGTCTATAGCTATTTTATAGTAGCCTAAAGTTTGTAATACAAAGCAATCTTTGTAATTACTTACTACGTTAAGATACCATCAACCTCACATTTGCTAGACTTAAAAAATTACCTTATATTTTGTCTTTTATGACACTATTCAGTACAATGTGTAAGCTATTTGTTTCTCTTTCTCTCTTTTTTTTTTTTTTTTTCAGAACCGGGGATTGAACTCAGGCCCTTGCACTTGCCAGGCAAGCGCTTATTCTACTGAGCCATCTCCCCGATCCCATGTGAAAGCTATTTGTGACAAGCTAATCCTTGTTTTCTGATCAAAGCACTTTTACTTTTGCATCTTATCCTATGTCCCCAAAACAGAAAGTGTTTATCATGAAAGAAATTTAAGTTAACCTTGTTTTTCAGAAGAGCTACTATTAACTCACTATAAATGTGAAACACTGGGCTGGAGGTATCGCTGGGTGATAGAGCACTTGCCTAGTTGGTCCCCAGCACCATGAAACAGACAAACCTCAAATCTCCCTGCCTCTTACCCTCAGGCTCCAGTCAGAATTCAAACTTGTAGAAATAGACTGCTCACTTGTTGAGGTGCAAAATGTTTTTGACCTCACTTTGAAGTTATTTAATGACCAAAAAGAGATGCAGTAATTGACTACAATTTTTTCTACTATATCAAAGTAAATATTTTATGCCTTCATTAGCAGGACAGGCCCACAATGAATAAGAATTAACAGTTTATAGAACTTTTAATAGAGTTAAAGGAAAGCGATATACATCCTTTGGGAATTAGCATGAAGAGATAAATCCAAAAAAAAAATCTTAGTAATACTTCATATTTAATATTCTATTACTTTTACAAATGAAAACCATAAAATTACCTGCCTTAGTTCCTTTGACATAAAAAGTGATCACTTGGTTATGTGGTAGCTGTTACTTACACAGCAAAATTCCTTTCATTAGCAGTTGAGGCACTTTACAGGCTGAGAAATCTTGGACCAATGGATATTCCTTTTTTTTAAAACTATTTGATTATATTAACACATTTCAGTGCTATAAAATACTATGTGACTTGTACAAATCTGACATTCTACAATGTGTAATGAACATGCTGTTTTTTATAATGTTTTACTTCTGCCGTAAGATTTAGGTTTTTTAAATGTATTTTTGCCCTGAATTAAGTGTTAATTTGCTAGGAACACTCCTTTTATAATCATCCCTTACTGGGTTTTAATAAATCAAAAATTAAACCAAATTAAGGTACACTGTTGTCAATGTGTAGTGAAAATAAGTTCAAGGGGTCAATATGAAGTACAAAATGTAGGAAGTATTGGCCAAAATCACTAATGCTCATATTAGTACCCAATAGTACTACCAATTTTTAAATGACTACAAAGATAAAGCCTTCCTTTTTCATTAGAATCCTAGTAGATACTTTAGTCCTCGTCTCTAGTAAACTGAGGAATGACCATATATTCAGAGAAATCCCTTGGCCACCAAAAAGCTGGCTATGCTTCTGCTATCACACCAAGACCCAAGAAGGGAATCACTGTGTATCTTCCAGTCACTCAGTCAAGATTAAAACATCAAGAAAACACATACAAAAGACACACATTTTTAAGAACTAATAGCAACATGGTGAGATCTGCTTAGTGGCCAAATGCAGTCAGTGTTGTTAGCTTGGGAATTACGCATTGAAACAAACATAAAAATCAGATAAAATTGAATGCAATAGTGTTGTAGGTCAAGAGCACTTCAAAGCTCTCAGCCTTGAGTACCTTGTTCATCAGCACAGCATCCTGCTTGTTCAATTAAACACCAAACCCACAGGAATCTAACTAGCAGAACAATTTTTATCCTTCAAGAATTCAAATGAAAAAGAACAAATATTAATATTGAAAGATAAAGCTTTGAATAGACATTTTACTTTTGAATCCCGAATCCGCTCTGCTGCACTTGTAGACAGGTTGCTGTCACTGTGTGCTCGACTCATGTTGGCACTGGAGTTGGAAGCAGAGTTTCCGACACTGGACCCACTGCTGCTTGCGGAACTGACCATGCTGGCGCTGCTGCTGCTGGCACTGGCCCCGCTCACTCCACTGGTGCTTGCACAACTAAAGTTGCTTCTTTTCCAGGCCTCTCTTGCAGGCCGCTGGCGAGGGCTATGTTCCTTAATATAGTTTCTGACCTTGGGACAAGGCAAAAAACTGGTTACTGTTGTACCTTGATGTTCTAGCCTTAAGATGCTAGAAAGAAAAATTATACTGTCCTCAATTTGAAAGATTTCATCAAAAGTGAAGCAGATGTACAGATAAGGGAAAATGGAATAAGGGTTTTTTTTTTTTCTTCCTCGAATGCGTTCAGGGCACTTTTGGCCAGCGGGAGAGTTGTGAGGTTCGAACCAGGAACCTGAGGCTGACAGCTTTGTGGAAGCAGCCACTTAAAGGACTGAGCTAGGGCCAGGCCCTCGATAAGGCAAAATGGAAAGGCTAAAGAAATCTAAATTTAGAAACAAGCCCTAAACCTTCACAATTTAGACTACAAAAACATGTGGAAAGGCCAGCCAGATAGCTTAGCGGATTAAAGCACCTGCTTAGGCAGACCCAGGGACAGGGTTTCAGGATGGCCCAGTCCCGCCCCCCCATGAACCACTGATTGAGACTGGGTGTGGTAATGCACGCCTGTAATTCCAGCACTTGGTAGGCTGAAAACAAGAGGATCATTATGAGTCCGATCTGTGTAGTGATACCCTATAGACCCTGTACTATACTAAATACATTTTAAAAATGTGGAAATAGAAACTAGCTGGGGAGATGCCTCAGTGGAATAAGCGCTTCCCTGGCAAGTGCAAGGGCCTGAGTTCAATCCCCGGTTCTGCAAAAAAAAAAAAAAAGAAAGAAAGAAACTAATAATAAAATAGTTGAAATTAAGTATTTGTTAGAAGTCTCTACCTAAAATGATTTAAAGAAATTAATGATCATATTTATGATCGGCTATTTTTTCCTAAATTTTATTTAGATGCCAATGGCACCTGTCTTCAAATGCAAAGCATCGACATAACACATTATTGAAAAATGGACTGGCATGTAGAATACTATAGTCTATGTGTGTTGAGAAAAACACTGAAATCACAGAAAGTTTTCATAAATGATAAATGTAAAACAAAGCTAAAGTAGAACATAAACGCAAGGGGCTGGCAAGATAGCTCAGTGGTCTAAAGCGCCTGCTTAGGCAAAGTACAGGGACCTTGGTTCCAACCCCCAGTACCACATGCTGGCCAGCCTCGCCCCCAGGGCGGACTGAGCCAGCCACAATAAAAGTAATGTAACATAACATAACATAACATAACATAACACAACATAAAATGTTTAAAAGAAGTAAAAGAGCATAAACGCATAAGTACTCATTGAGGTATGTACCAAGAAAATGACAGCAGCACACACCATATCTAGATGATATTACAAATGTGTATTTTACATATAAATAGCAATCTGAATAGCAAAGGGAAAGTTCATTGGGTTTTACCCTAGCCAGCTTCAAGTACTTCGTAAAACTAATCAAGTAACCTCAGATATTTATAAAAATATAGTTGGGGCTGGTGAGATGGCTCAGTGGTCTAAAGCACCTACTTAGAACAAGCTTAGCAAAGCACAGGGACTGCAGTTCAATCCCCCAGCACCACATGCC